CAGTCTTTACAACAATTTGCCGCGTTTCTGCTTCACGATTAGCAGACGGAAGATCGAGCCTCTACCATTCCTGCAGTTGAATAATCCTTAAGGGTTAAGTACTTCAAGTATTAATGATAATAATAATAATAATAATAATAATAATAATAATAATAATAATAATAATAATAATAATAATAATAATAATAATAATAATAATAATTTTTGCTTCAGAATATTCAACAGTTAAGAGAATTATTAAGTGAAAATTTATTTTTAAGGTTTTAAACAGTTACATTTTTTTTAAATTCTATACATAAGATATCTGAACATGACAATCATGACAAACCTGTCAGACACTGCAACTTCTTGGGATCTTAATACTTAGGAATTCTTCACTTGCCTAATTCTTGGGCACGACCTACTTCAACATTGAACAAATGTGACACCACCTATGACTGCTGCACCTCTCCTACCAACGGTTTATAAGCTCCTTCTCAGCACGTATGCCGTATTCTATTCAAGATTGATGGACTGACCACATCGACTCAAGGTTGAGGGACTGATTACCTCATTCTCCTCCTGTTCTTCAAGATTCTCCTTTGTATGGACTGATGAAGCCACTGTGTGGCGAAACGTTTCCTCAATAAAGATACCCAAGAGTTGCACATGTGTCTAATTTATCAACATGTCGGTTCTCTGAACCATTCATCTACAAACATGTTGATGATCCTCGCTGTGTTCTCCTAAAATGTCAGGTGCTGAACGTATTATTTTTCAGGCAATTTATTTTTAAAAATTAAAGCTTCCGCTCAATTTATGTATATTTAATAATACTTGTGTGTACGTAGTACTACTGTTTGTTGATAAACCTAAATATATTCTATTCAGAATTTGTGTTCCACTCAAATATTTCTGGCTGGAATCAGTGCCACCTTTCTCATATAGTTATATTTATTCTATTTTGCATTTTTGGTTATTATTTTATTTGCTTATATTACACGTTGGTTGCCTTTATTTTCAATACCTGAAGGATATGAGAAATAAAAACATTTGAAATTACGCGGGACCTTCATTGATAGTGTGTCATCAGTGTAGGTAGTTTATGAAGTCACTTAATAAGAATATAAGAACAGAGGAGCACCGCAGTGTGCCTACAAGCTCATACAAACTAGGCCTAATCTAACCCAGCCCTTCTCTCTCTCATACAAGCTAGGCCTAATCTAACCCAGCCCTGCTCTCTCTCATTTATTTATACTGAATATTTTTTGAACTTTGCAAATACAATATTGCCAAAACAATATTTTCCTATAGTCTGTATAAATGGGAATTTATCCAATTAGAATCCACTGTACGGGACACGTTCTTGGTTAGATATTTTCATCACTATATTTCCTTCATTTATTCATATCTTCAGTTTGCATGTTACAGCCAGAGTTGCCTTCATTCTACGTCTTCCAAGGAAGTGGAGGTTCAAGGCTCTGCGCTTCATGGATACCTTGTACAGCAGAACAAATTTGTCATCTTTCTGTGAATGTTTTCCACAATATTTACATCCATTCTGCGGAATGGAGACCAAACATGGAACGCATAAACTAAATAAAATATTAATAATGATATATAGAACTGTAGAATAACCTGTTGTTTAATGCTTGATATAAATCCAGTCAATCACTCAACCATCTAACGGTTGGTTGGCACTGATGCCTTGGTTGGTTGGCACTGATGCCTTGGGGTTGGTTGGCACTGATGCGTTGGGGTTGGTTGGCACTGATGCCTTGGGGTTGGTTGGCACTGATGCCTTGGTTGGTTGGCACTGATGCCTTAGGGTTGGTTGGCACTGATGCCTTGGGGTTGGTTGGCACTGATGCCTTGGGGTTGGTTGGCACTGATGCGTTGGGGTTGGTTGGCACTGATGCCTTGGGGTTGGTTGGCACTGATGCCTTGGGGTTGGTTGGCACTGATGCCTTGGTTGGTTGGCACTGATGCCTTGGGGTTGGTTGGCACTGATGCCTTGGTTGGTTGGCACTGATGCCTTGGGGTTGGTTGGCACTGATGCCTTGGTTGGTTGGCACTGATGCCTTGGGGTTGGTTGGCACTGATGCCTTGGGGTTGGTTGGCACTGATGCCTTGGGGTTGATTGTCACTGATGCCTTGGGGTTGGTTGGCACTGATGCCTTGGGGTTGGTTGGCACTGATGCCTTGGGGTTGGTTGGCACTGATGCCTTGGGGTTGGTTGGCACTGATGCCTTGGGGTTGGTTGGCACTGATGCCTTGGGGTTGGTTGGCACTGATGCCTTGGGGTTGGTTGGCACTGATGCCTTGGGGTTGGTTGGCACTGATGCCTTGGCTTTAGATTCTTATTTACCCTGTCTGGAAAGTCTACTTTTCTCATATTGTTTTATGACATTGTATATTATTTATAAAACTAAAAGTAATTTTCATTCTGGAATGATAGTAGTTTACATTCTTCAATAATGAATTTCATTTGACATTTACTGACCACTATATTAGCTTGTCTAAATCATTTTGAAGAAAAATGTTAAATTGTTGTAAATATATCTGTCACCCTATTTTTGTGTCGGCTTACGTTGTTGTCTCTCATCCTGGTCATTAATATGGATTATAAACAATAAAGGGCCCAAAAGTGATCCTAATGGAACGTCACTTTTGACTGGTCCCCATTTTCATTTAACCAGATTTATTGAAACTATTTTTCTGCTTAATCATTAGCCATGCCTCAGTCCATAAGTGAGGATATTTCCTATTACATTGTGCTGCCACTTTCTTTAAGAGCCTTTGTGTGGGACTCTCATAAGCATTAACGAAATCACAACATCGTATTCTTTGCCCTAGTCCACTGTCTCAAATGCCTAAACAAAATCAGAAAGCATGTTTAGTAAGAACATCCTTGTAAATCCGTGTTGCAACTCACAATTTAACTATGCTGGTCAAGGTGGCCTCTGATTACATCCCAAATCGATGAATGAGATATATTGACTGATCTATCCCGGTTGAGGGACTGAACACCTCAAATTGATTTCTTCAAGACTGAGGAAATGAATACCTCTAAATGACTTCAAGGCTGAGGAATTAAACACCTCAACCTTCAATAAAAACAGTACTCTAATGTACTGAGGTTAACACAGTAATTTCAGGAACTGCACTGACGACGCTTGCTGCGCAGGATAATTGTTCCAACAATAAAGGTATCTAAGTGTTGCGCATGTGTCTTATTCATCAACTTGTTGATACAGTATACAAATAATACAAATAATGATTCAGTTATTTGTTCATCCATTCGGGATAATTTTAATCTGATTTAATTTCTCTATGGGAAATATATGTTTTTTTCTTCAGCCCGTATAATATTTTGAAAAATATCATACTGAGAGTTTTCTTCGATAGTATTTGTAAGGTCTTCACCGATGTAATCATTGGTCCAGTGATCCCATTCCACACTAACCAAATATTCCTTGAGCCAATTGTACTCTCCCGAGCAAGATTCTGAGACCTTATTCTATAATTCCTATTACGATACTTTTGTGCAATATTCAAAGTTATTGGTTTGTGATCACTTGTGCGAAGCTCTTCTGCCATCGTTAGATTATATAATAGTCTCTCCTTGTTTTACAGAACCAGGTCAAGCAAGTTATTACCTCTGGCTTGTTTTGACAAACTTCTTAAAAAAGTCCTGAACAGCTTCTACTAAGTTGCTGGATAGTGGATTTTCAGCAAAGGATTTCAGTCAGTTTTTCTGAAATTATATTCCAGGATTACTACATTTCCACATCTAGAAGCCTTAATGATTTTATCATAAAGCAGTCACTCTTCCTTGGTTGCTTTCTGCTGTAAGTTCTGGGAATTGTATAACACTCTTAGAATTAGTTTTTCATATCTTTGTAGAAATTTTACCCAGACATATTCTGTGTTTGTTTCATCAACCTTAATATCAGCTTTTATGCAGCGGTTCACATATTTTCTAATATTACAACGTCACACCAAATCTTTTCTTTAAAATATTCCAAATACTTCCATCTCCCTATCTAATAACTCCCTTTTTTATTTTTAATTATTAAATCAATTTATTCCCTAAGCTTATTGATCTCACACCAAGACTTTTTCTTATTCTCAGCATTTTTTTTTTAATAAAACCTCATTCATTCTCTCATTAGCTCTCTTTTTATACTCCCTCGTAACTCTTCGAACATCTCCTTTACTCCCCTTACACTCCGTCCTCCGAATACAAATTTTAAATTGAAAAAATTCTCATATGTTAACTGTCTATCCCGTACCACCCTCTTTACCTCCTTATTTCATCAATTACTCCTCTTCTCTCATACACCCACTCTCACCCTCCGTTATCAGCTAAGTTCAGTTGCAAGTATCCTGCTTGGAGAATTAAGTTCGCCCAAGCAAGAAACAACAATTTTTTCCTAATTGCTAAACTTTTCTTCTCTTCTGCTTCTAAAAGTTGCCTCTAGTAGATGAAGTTTATAAAGTTATTTTTGCAAACTAACTCAAAAAATGTGCCAAAAATACAATCAGTTTCGAATTCTTAAGTTTGCAGCTCAATTACTCGATACTCCCTATAAAATAAGGCAGAAATCATGCCTCTCTGTTTGCATGTGTGAACCAGTTTTTCTCTGTAGGCAAAACATGTAACTGTGGGCTTGTGTTTCTCTTCCTTGGAACTAAATAAATGAGTGTTGTCTTGCCTATCTCTCTCTCTCTCTCTCTCTCTCTCTCTCTCTCTCTCTCTCTCTCTCTCTCTCTCTCTCTCTCTCTCTCTCTCTCTCTCTCTCTCTCTCTCTCTCTCTCTCTCTCTCTCTCTCTCTCTCTCTCTCTCTCTCTCTCTCTCTCTGAGAGCAAAACAAAAACATGTAGTTTTGTGTATCTCTTCCTGAGAAAAACGAGAGAAGTTATGTGAATGATGGTTTAGTGACAAAACAAGTTAATGTAGTTTTGCGTATTTCTCTCTGGGACAAAATAAGTAATTATGATTCTTTGTTGCAGGAGGAGAGTCGGTGCCACAGGAAAAAAAGGAGCCACTCAACTGTTTGATGGCCAAGGGTCTCTGTGACCAGAACCCAAAGTGTTCCGCCCTTCTTAAGGTCATCCCCATACTCTGTGGCCCAGAGCTAGGTCAGTATTCACTTTTTTCATTCATTTATTCTTTCTTTCTTCATTTCACTTCAGTATATTTACTTCATTATTGCTGAGATATGATGCACAATCCTACATACCCAAGAAAACTCGAGGGTATAAACAAGAAACGTTAAAAAAATACAGTGATTTAGAGCTCACTGGACTATAGGACAAAGTCCACAGACACTCTAAATCAAACCAGTCTCCTTTAGAGCTATTATTCAGCTCCAGTGGTTACTTTGCAAAACAACCACCGGAGAGGGGGAGTTGAATAATGGCTCTAGGCCTTTCGTGATGCAATCAGCAGATCAGCAGCTTGCAGTGTTGCAGAGAAGAAGAGGTGATTTCAAGCAAATACGATTACAGGAAACGTCGTTGCTTGGACGAGGCAGAAAGACAGGAGGCAGTAGGCGCCCCAGACGTACCAATAGCCAGAAAGATTGAATATTGTAGCATTAGAAGACAGCCAGCCCAAAAGAAATGATATTGTAGTAATAGCCTAACGAACGTACCATTAGTGACATGACAATTATAAATCATTAGGTCAGCCTACAATATGATAAAATGACTTTGCATACCAAAATCATTTACATCATATTGTAGGTTGTTGCGCATGTGTCTTACTTAACGAGTGATCTTGTTAGGTAAGACACATATGCAACAGTTACACAAATAACCCGCACATAAAAGAGAGAAGCTTACGACGACGTTTCGGTCCGACTTGGACCATTGACAAAGTCACAGTGTGACTTTGTCAATGGTCCAAGTCGGACCGAAACGTCGTCGTAAGCTTCTCTCTTTTATGTGCGGGTTATTTGTGTATCGTTCCAGTCACGGTATTGTGCCTTTTTGTTATTTATGCAACAGTTAGGTATCATTATTTCGAAACGTTTCGCCTACACACTAGGCTTCTTCAGTCGAGTTGGTAGAAGCAGAAAAGTTGTGAAGACGATGTAGAATATCCACACCTCTGGAAAACCGGTCCGTTAAAGGGACTCATTTAAGGGGAAACATCTGTAATTTATCCAAAGGAAGACGGCTTTGGTTTCTCTATCACACAAGATTTTGAGGCAGATGCTGGCCTAACCATCACGAAACGAGCAGGAGCAGAGGTCCTAATTCCTCGGTGTGAAGTTACGGAACTAACATATTGGTATAGGAGACCGATTTTAGGTTATGTACAATAGCCTCGACTAAAAACGAATCAAATTTGAAGAAGCCACCACTGCTATTGTATAATGATGGCTTATTATGTTTTATAATTTGTATATACATATCGTTTCAGTAAAGACTAAAATTTTATTTTTAAATTTAAATTTATCATCAACGTCCACGTGGCAATATTGTAACCTTCTCAACGAATCTGCTGAGATCTTTTATTCATTTCTGCAACACTGCAAGCTCGTGATTATGTGTTGATTGCAACACGAAAGGCCTAGAGCTAACATTCAACTCCCCATGTGGTTTTTTAATGTGAGTATGTGTGTGTGTGTGTGTGTTTGTGTGTGCGTTTGTGTGTGTGTGTGTGTGTGTGTGTGTGTGTGTGTATGTGTGTGTTGTGTGTACTCACCTAGTAACTCACCTAGGTGTGTGTGTGTGTGTGTGTGTGTGTGTGTGTGTGTGTGTGTGTTTGTGTAAATAAATAAGTATATAAAAATCTAGGTGAGAGGAGTGAGGCAGTGAAGGCATGCATGTCAGGAATTTCAAATGTGGTAAACAAATTTCCCCTGGGATTCCCTGGGAATCCTACTCAAGGTTATAATACAAGTAAACCAGGTTATGTTACCAATAAACCAGATTATTTGCTTTAGACAACCCTTGGCAAAATTAAATGTCTTTCACATGAACTTCCGTAGGGTGATATTTAAATGGCACAAATTACTTATTTACGCAGACACTGAACACCATGACGTTACTGATCTTGATCGACATACTTATAACTACAGGTAGACTATGTCTACCTGTAGGTTGAAATACGACATATGGGCAGAAAATGTTGGTTTTGAGTTTAGTGTAGGACGTCCAGTGTCGTGCAGAAAACGATGTTAACATAATAATTAATAAAATCAAGGCAATGGTAATTGGAAACTTTGGTTACCCCAATTATATGTTGAAAAAAAAATTCGGAGACTAACAGCTTACCTGGAATGAATGAAAATAGTTTTCTAATTCAGTTTTATGCCATTATAATTTTTAAACGTCAGTTTTTTTTTTTTTTGAGGTTTTGATGAATGTCGATTTTAAACGTTTCCTGTGTTTTTTACTCTACAAATCGTGTTTTATTTATTTTGTATTATATTTGATCAAGTTGAGCTTTTATTGAATTCGGCTATATAAACCTATGGATAGGTACAGTTAACCACAAATAAGAAAACAGAATTACACAACAAGTCTCTTAAAGAAATGGACGAGAACATTTATGAAACGTTCATATATGAACTTTCATCTTTGAACGTTTGTGGGAGAACTGGCTGCTCTAACACGGGAAAATATAGTGAAGCTTCTCTTCACTATAGACAGAGACACAGTACAGTCATCTGAGGCGAGTCAGACATTAGATGAGTGACCATTACATCACACAGAAAAAAAATAATTTCCGAGGTCTAAACAATATTATGATAATCATCAACTACAAAACCATAAACACTGACAAAATATATTGAGATAAAAGCCTTAAATGACTTGATTTATTTGATTTAGATTATGGAAATTGAGTTAGATAACATTCCACGAAAGACAAAAGGAAGCAGCGAGAAAACCAAACTAGCTTGGATGACAAACATAATGCAGGAAATAATTTTAAAGTGTCGTCAAATCCTGAGAATCGTGCTAATTTACCCACAACCAAAATACGCAAAATCGTTAATTAATTATTTAATGAATAAGACCAATTTACTGATAAAGCCTCTATAGGCTAATATACCACTTTTATAAGTATTTAAGTTAAGTCAGAGTTAGATATAGAATAGTTTAGCTTAGTATCTATGATTACCTTTATCTCAGCCCACACAGCTGACAACAGGACCACCAACCAGTAGGTGCATAGCTGCCCATGCTTAAGTCACCAATAAGCTTGTCTACCGAAGTGTACGAAACCTCGTAAGACTGGATCTTTTACATAACAAGCTAGAGAGGGCGACTTAACCTACACTTGGCTTGTACAGTGAGGAACAGAACATTCTTTAATCACATTACAATCGTGTCACATTAGGTAATGACAGGACGAGTTATCTTGTTAGGTAAGACACATATGCAACAGTTAGGTATCTTTATTTCGAAACATTTCGCCTACGCAGTAGGCTTCTTCAGTCGAGTACAGAAAAGTTGTTAGAAGCAGAAGAGATGTGAAGACGATGTAATCAGTCCATCACCCTTGAAGATGTAGTTTTGAGGTAGTCAGTCCCTCAGTCTGGAGAAGAGTATTTGTTCAATAGTCTGAAACAATGTGAAGTTAAAGTGACAGTATGGAGTCTTATATACTGTCAGGAGGTGAAATGTAGGGCGCTAGTAGAGGATAGAATATAAACATTGAGATGTCACAAATACTCTCCTGCAGACTGAGTGACTGACCACCTCAAAATTAGGTCTTCTGGGGTGATGGGCTAATTACATCGTCTTCACATCTCTTCTGCTTCTACCAACTTTTCTTTACTCGACTGAAGAAGCCTACTGTGTAGACGAAATGTTTCGAAATAAAGATACCTAACTGTTGCATGTGTGGCTTACCTAACAACCCGTCGGTATTTCATATAATTTTAAAACTCACGAGTGATCTTGTGCCGGGTGAAGCCAGATGGCTCCGTGTGAAGCCAGGTGGCTCCGGGAGAAGCCAGGTGGCTCCGGGTGAAGCCAGGTGGCTCCGGGAGAAGCCAGGTGGCTCCGGGTGAAGCCAGGTGGCTCCGGGTGAAGCCAGGTGGCTCTGGGAGAAGCCAGGTGGCTCCGGGTGAAGCCAGGTGGCTCCGGGGGAAGCCAGGTGGCTCCGGGTGAAGCCAGATGGGTCAGACACGTGTCACGGTGTTCCTAAATGAAGATAACCTACAGACCTCACACATCACGACAGTGAGTGCTTGCTACCAATACTATTGAATGCGCATTTATATTTGTTTAATATTCACTTTAGCGGTAAACAACTTGTTTTAAGTCTTCAAGAATGTGAGTGGTAGTTTGGCACAGTTAATAAATCTGTTTTCAGCTTACTTAGGTGTGTGTTGATCGTATTAAATTCGCTAATATTTTACTCTGATAACTGTTTCTACTGCATTTTGTGGCTAGTGTGTTAATCTTAATGCCTTTTTAGAAAGTGAAGACGGAGCTGAAGGCTGTGTCGGAACAAAGCCATTTCTTCATTAGTAGAAGTCATTTTACTTGAAGGTGTCCAGTTAGGTCATTAGCTAAATCGAATCCAAGAACCTGCCATCCTATCCCTGGATATTCTGGATTGCTTACCTCTGTTTTGTACAGAGCAGTGTGAGTTCCCTGGTGAAGCTGTATCTCTGTGGATGGACCCTCCACACCTGGGCAGTACTCATTAGAGTACTGGAGGGTCCATCCAAAGACCCTATGTTTATCCAGAGATACAGCTTCACCAGGGAACACACACTGCCTTGTACAGAACAGAGGTAAGCAATCCAGAATATCCAGGGATGGGATGGCAGGTTCTTGGATTCGATTAAGCTAATGACCTGACTGGATTATTAGGTGACTAGTCATACCCACACTCACCCCTCTATTCTAGACACCTTTTAAGCAACTGTGACAGTAAAATGACTTCTACTAATGAAGAAATTGCTTTATTTCCAAGACAGCCTTAGTTAGTTAAAGATTAGCCGGTATTCTCCCGGCCCGGGCCTTTTCCAAGTGGTGGCCCGGCCTTGGCTCCCTTTTTAGGGAGTGTCTGAGACCTAAGTCTCCCATGGGAGGAGGCACAAGTACCTCCTCATCTTTGGGACCAACTGTCCCCAGGCCTAGCCACAAGCTAGGCCTCTCTGGTCTGCCAT